TTTTTTCCCTACATTTTAACACTTGTCTGTAGTAAGACATCACATTGTCATTTAAAAGGTCAATGCAACAGCCTGCTACAGCTTTATCTGGGTGAGTTTTTTCAACAAAACTTTCAGTTCTTCCCATACTTCGCACATTTTCTTAATGAGGAAGAGATATCCTCTACTGCCTCAACTCTCAACTATTTTCTTAGGATGAACCTTACCACTGACTTTCAGTGACCCATGGCATGATATATAATAATCAGCTTTATGTTCAAAAAGCAAAATTGTCAAAAATTTTGACAATTTTGGAATTTCGGAACACAAAAACGGAATTTCTTATAGGCGTGATCGTCACTAAGTGGGCAGCTCGAGTAAACCGAGGCAGGTTGGCCCCCGTGACCAGGAACCACGCGCTCGGTCGACCTAAACGTGTACCAACAAATATCGTTAGTCGAAGACACTATCATAAGTCGAGTCGCATTTTTCGATTAAATTTACATCGAAACTCAAAATTATTGTAAGTCAGGGCAATCGTAAGTCAAGGTGCCACTGTACTTAGTGTAACTAGCCATACACTTAATGACAGACTTAAAGAACTCAAAAGAAGTGTTAAGTCTGCAGACACAATCAATGCTCTCTTCTGTCATGTTAGGGATTATCATCCTACTGATTGATCTTCCTCCAAAATAATCTACCCTGCCTCTACTCTACACAGACGCCGTCTTGTTGAATCGGCTCTAATACACAACATACCCAACATGAACTTGAGTCCTGGCTTTGTTGCTGTTGACTCTTCCCTTTCACAGTATGTCTCCACTCGATTATCCAGACTATATGGGAAAGAGGACCCCCAGCCGGATATTCACTTGTTCCGGATAATGGTACTTTTTCACCTTTGAGTCCAAAAGTGACCATTTCCAACTATTTTTATACTACAAACAACATAATTTGAATTGCCTTGCCACATATAATTATTAAATATTCAACTAGTAACCTCAACTTACCTTGTTGGTGTTCGTCTTCTTAATTGATGCCACACATCTTGAAGTTAAGAATTCTTGACAATTTATGTAACCTATACTAACCCAACATTAAAATTAATACTTAAAATTACTGTACAGTTCATTTGGGTTGCCTGTGAGGCCTCACTTGTTGAAGGCACTTGGCTTGCCTGTGACGCCTCACTTGTTGAAGGCACTTGCTTGCGCCTCACTTGTTGAAGGCACTTGGCTTGCCTGTGACGCCTCACTTGTTGAGGTGTATAACACGTAACTTGTCTTTAATTATTAGGACAACCTCCTTCCTCTTAACACCTCCAGAACGATTGATGCTGCTACCAGATATAGTCTTGGGCAAAAATGTTCAAAGTTACTATGAAAATAAAAAACTTACGTAAAAAAATATTTCACTAATGGTGTGGCACTGTGCCAGCAGAGTGCCACAGGGTTGAGTACTTGAACCTATCCTGTTTCTGATATATGTAAATGATCTTCTAGAGGGAATAGACTCATCGTCTCAATGTTTGCTGATGATGCAAAAATTATGAGAAGAATCAAGACAGATGAAGATAGAGACTACAGGATGACCTGGACAAACTAGAGGAATGGTTTAGAAAATGGTTACAAAAGTTTAACTCAGGAAAGTGTAAAGTAATGAAATTAGGTGAAGGGAGCAGGAGGCCGAACACAAGGTACCATCTGGGAGGTGAAATCCTGCAAGAATCAAATAGAGAAAAAAGAACTGGGGGTTGATGTCACACTGAACTTGTCCCCAGAAGCTCACATCAAAAGGATATCATTAGTGGTATATGCTAGATTGACAAACATAAGAACTGCCTTTAGAAACTTGTGTAAGGAATCATTCAGAACCTTGTATTCTGAATGTTTGGTCTTATGTCAGAAACGACCAATTGGTCTTGGTCTTGGTCAGGTCAAACGACCTGATTGGTCTTATGTCAGACCAATCCTGGAGTATACAGCTCCAGCCTGGAATCCATACCTAGTTAAACACAAGACAAACTTAGAGAAAATTCTGAGGTATGCCACCAGACTAGTCCTAGAACCGAGAGGTATGAGCTACAAGGAAAGGCTACAGGAACTAAACCTCACATTTCTGGAAGACAGAAGAATAATTTAAGACATGATCACCACCTACAAAATTCTCAGAGGAATTGAGAGGGGTGGACAAAGGCAAACTATTTAGCATGGGTGGAACTCAAACAATGTGAAAACTAAGTACCCCAATGAACCACAGAGACATTAGAAAGAACTTTGTTAATGTCAGAGTAGTTAACAAATGGAATGCATTAACCCTTAAAGTGCGCATCACGTCATATGACGTGCTGGACGTTGTTCCAGTCAACTGCGCATCACGTCATATGATGTGTTGGAGTACTACGCAAGATTTAAATAGCCCGCGGATACATGGGGTTCACCACACCTTCATCAGGGCTCTTGTAAACAGACGCCATTTTTAAAAAAAATCGTGGGCCAAACTCCCGGGTGTTATTGGCCTCAGTATTGAGTGAGCAACCAAGCCTGATGCACGCAGCATGAGCTAACAGCACTGCTGTTCAGCTTGTGACCACAGCATTGCCTAAAAATGCCAAATTATACTTGTTCATGCTATTATGTAGCGATGATATTATTACAGAAGACCCCTGACTGTGATAAAACTGACCAGGGTTCTGATAATAGCAGGATTGTGGTGATATTTAGCACTGTGCGCCATGGAGGGAGGAGTAATGCTGTGGGAGGGAGGGTGGTGGCGATGTCTTTTGACTGTGTGTGGCCACCTTTTATTGACTACACTCAGCATACCAGCTTAGTGGTTCGCTATGGTGAACACAAATGTAGATACTTATATATAACATGTGTATAGAGGGGTATAAACAGCAAGAGAAGGTTTGGAGCCGCCATTTTGGTGAGGGCGGTGGCGTCGTGCAGACGACGGTGTTGTTTACTGGTTACCACGATGGTCTTTGGGCACCATACCAGTTTATTTGTACAAGTATGGTGAATAAAACAGGTAGATATTTATATATAATGTGTGTATATAGCGAGAGCTTTAATATAACAATGTGCTTTAATATACTTACTTATCTCTCTCATCACATTTTTCTCTTGTAATGTATCTTTCATTTATCAATTCTGATTGAACTTACCTACTTAAAATTATCTGCTAGATTAAGGACCTGCCCGAAACGCTGCGCGTACTAGTGGCTTTACAAGAATGTAATTACTGTACTATCCAATGTATTCTCACAAACCCAATGTACCTTCTTGTATATATATAAATAAATAAATAAATAAATAAATAAATAAATAAATAACACCACACAGTATTGTTGGAGGAGAAATATTAGTGCGTCTGGCCTTGAGGGCGGCCGCCGATCAGCTGACTGTGTGAGTAGCCACATCTTTGTGCCTTTACTCACCATACAAGCTTAGATGTACACTTATGGTGAACAAAACATGTAGATACTTATATATAATGTCTGTATATAGTGAATTATAGCAAAAACATTATTGTGGGAGGAGAATGTGGGTGAGTCAGAAGACTGGAGGGAGGGCGGGAGTGGCTGGCTGGTAAACGGCGGTCACTCCTCATTACTTTTTGACTCATAATAGCTACTTAGTGGTTCGTTATAGTGAACAAAACATGCAGATACTTATATAAAACCTGTGCTTATAATGTAATAACCGACAAAGTATTTGTTCACTGATTGATGAACATAATTGAATCAACAATATGCACACCATATTTTTGAGTACAGCAATGATTCACTCATTTTATTATATAAATATATCAAACTACACACTATTGAATAATATTACAGCAAAAAAAAAGTATGAAAAATCAATCAGAGACATTGAAATAATTCGGTAATTATCTCTTTGTGGCAACTCTGGCCTGACAGCTTGCGAGCAACAGACCGCCTGGGACGCACGCTGAATCAGCTCCTATAATTTGCCAGACTTCCCCGCCCTATAGCGGGCAATATATGCCACTTACGATTTTTTTATTATTTTTCCCGTGATCAGTGAACACAAATTAACAGGTTAGGAAGAAAAAATAATTTTTTTTTTTTTCAAAATGACATGCGCCTGTGGGGATGACAGGATATTAAACCCCGAGCATGTTAAGGGTTAAGCAGTGATGTTGTGGAGGCAGATTCCATACACAGTTTCAAATGTAGATTTGATAGAGCCCAGTAGGCTCAAGAATCTGTACACCAGTTGATTTACAGTTAAGAGGCAGGACCAAAGAGCCAAAGCTCAACCCCCTCGAGCACAATTAGGTGAGTTCATGCACAAAATGGCTTCCGGGACTAAAAAATAAGAGTTTCGAGGAGAGACTAGAGGCGTCAAACATGCCAAAACTAAAAGAAGAAAAAGAGGTGATATGATCACCACTTATAAAAATACTAACAAGTCTCGACCAAATTGACAAAGAGGAATTCCTGAAACCAGCAACTTTATGAACAAGAGGACACAGATTCAAGCTTAGGAAACAAATGTGCCAAAAAAATATTAAGCAGTTTTCTTTTGCAAACAGAGTGGTAGACGGTTCAAACAAGCTAAGTGAGAAGGTGGTGGAGGCAAAAACCATCAGTAGTTGCAAAGCATTATAGGAAATGAGTACTGGGAAGAAGGAGCACCAATAGCATAGCTCTCATCCTGTAACTATACTTAGGTAATTACACTTAGGTAACTACACACACACACACACACACACACGCTAATTACGGTCATAACTTGTGTTTGCTCTTTGGCATATGTAAGCTCCCTTCATCTACCACAGGAAGAACTTGCTGCAGTGATTAATAAGCCTCATAGCAGTCAGTATTTCCTCTCCTGAATGGATTGAATGGATAGGTGCTACAGTAGCTTGACCCTTCTCTGTTTGTACTCCTTATGCACATGGTAAGATACAAATGAGATTTATTTGAAGGAGGAGCAATGTCTCGTGGTACTGTACAGCTCATGCAATTATTCTTTCTTGCATTCTTTCAGAGAGTGGACTGCCTTTTGAGGTAGTGGGCACCTATGAGATCAACACAACGGCATTAGAAGTGTATCAGCACAATTTCCCTAAAACGTGCAAGCCCCGCAATATTACGGGCCTGAGTCTGGAGGAGTTGAGGGATATTAATCCAACCATTATCATGATGAGCCCACCTTGCCAGCCATTTACCAGGTCTGTAACACGCAAGCATACAGACAATGAATCAAAATAACGTGGCTGAAGATATGATGACCAAAGCACATATCAGAAGATGGAGAAACTGCGACTTTTTGGTCCGTCCAGGACTATTATCAAGTCCTGTGTGCCTCGTACACAACTTGATAATAGTGAAGGATGGACCGAAAGAGCACAGTTTCTCCATCTTCTGATGTGTGTTTGGCCATCAACACGCTAGCATATTTAACATTTAAAGAATATCTCTGACATCAGTGAGTAAATAAAATCATGTACAGTATGCTATTAACTATGTGTTTGCTTATATTTTTGAGTATCTTTCGCAGTTCACGGTAAAACCTATGTATGTTTAACAATGCATTTCTGTTAGACAGGGCTTAAAACGTGATGTGGAAGATGCACGTACATCCTCCTTCTTGCATCTCCTTGGACTTTTAGAAGAGGTCCCTCAGCCACCACATATGATACTCTTGGAGAATGTTGCTGGCTTTGAAACATCCCAGGCCAGAGAAAAATTAATCAGTATGCTTAGCAGAAGAAATTATGTATGGCAGGCAAGTAGCATATCTTGATAAGATTAGCACTGTGAAATCCACTTCCTGGTCTGAATTTTTTTTATTATCGTATATCAAATTAAGTTGTGTATGCTTGCTAACCGAAGGTTTTTATTTGGGCATGTGAAGTACATGCATAGGTTCTTGTTATATACTCTCCTAGATGTACTTGTGTAGTCTAGTGTTATCTCCTGTTCCCCTCATTCCAGATAATGATCAATTAATGCAATTACTCATTTTTCATGTGCCTTGTTATTTCTGTGGGGAGCCCTTTCGGCTCCCTGGAGCTATTGGGCTAATATGCGATATATAAGACTAGGGCAGTAGTCAATGGAGTTCAGCCTATTGGGGAACCACAAGCCAGAACCTGGCCCCCTCAGAGAGGCAAAAGGAGCAATGGCTCCTGGAAAACCCCCATGTGGTTGGGAGCTTTCCAAATCTGCCATCGACCAGGGTTAGGCACTCAGAAACGTAGACATAACAAAACATACCCCACGTGGTAAAAAAATTGCAACCAAAAACCGAATAGAGAGGCAGAACTCCCCCAATTCCCAAGGAAACAACCGTTGCTGTGAAGCCCCCCACCCCCACTGCTTGTTGCATGGGGGGAAGGGATTTTCTTAACCCCCCTTTCCTGTATGAGTATGATTTGGGGTCGACTCCTCCTAGGATCAGTTCCGGATTCCCTTGGGTTCCCGGCTCCTTCTTTCTGGAAGTTTTCTGCTTCTTGGATCTCACCTAAGGAGGTTCAGGAGGCACTTGCTGCATCCCTCCTGCAAGACTCAGATTTTGTCTTTGTGATGGATCCATCCTTGCTTGAGTTCGGTTCTTCTTCCACGTATTGGGTGCGTTTGGAGGTTCCGAAGTCTTCCTGGCTGGCAGACTGCCCATTCTTTTTGTTGGGGGCATGGCATGGGTTCTATCGGACCTGCACACTTGAATGACGAGAACCTTCTACTGTTCTGCAGGTTTACTTGGGTTTGAGCTTCTTAATGCGTGCTTGTTCGTCCCTTTGCTTCCTCATGATGTTGGCCTTGTGCAGCTGCACGTACAGGTTCCTACCCTTTCGGCGTCTTTAGTTGCAGAGAATTTGCACACCCATGGACATTTGGCTTTGGTCTTGCTCTTCTTTTCCCTTCTCGAGCTGTCCTCAGCCTGGCTTGAGGAGGATGTGGAGGCGTTGCGTGCCGGGTCTTCGTCTGGTGTCCTGGACTCTTAGGCTAGGGTGTCAGCCACGCTGTTGAAGCTGTTTGTGCCAATTCTCAAGGAGACGATGTCTTTGTTTTTTGTTTCTCTCTCACCTCGTGTGCCGACAGGCTGTGCTCACTCTTTCTTTGGAATCTGCCTTGGCCCTGGCTCTTAGATTTTCTTTGCCGTTTTGTCCATTGCTGTTTGCGGATACTGCTGTCACACAGTTTCTGAAGGCGGCTTCATCCAGTTGTCGTCCTATGTCAGACTTGTTGCTTCTTCGGGTTGGCTGTTCTCACCCGTCTTGGAAGGGTTGTGCCAAAGTTTATGATTCCTCCGGTTGGGGTGGGCCATTAGTGCTAGTTTCTGAGCCAGCATTGTCTGGTCGGCACAATGGTCACTCTGCTCGTCGGCTGGCTTCTCATAAGGGGCGTCAGCCCTTTCATGAGTCGCCCCATTGATAGGGGGAGGCTCACTCTGTTTGCTTACGCCTGGTCCCGCGATTCGTGGGTGTTTCAGGTCGACTCCTCTGGCCTGTGGTAGCATTGGGCGGCTCCTCCTCCTTCGGGGGGTTCGGGTCTCGTAGGGCCGGATTCTTTCCTTGCGCTCCATCAGGTCATCTCGGAGTTAGTGCACTTGGGCACGGTCGAAATGACCCCGTCCCTCAAATGGGTTTCCCATCTGTTTCCAGCGCTGAAATGGGACTGTGCGGATCTGCGGTTCATTCTGGACTTGTCCCGTCTGAACCCCTGGATTCCTTGCCCCTCCTTTCGGATGGCCACTCTGCCTCAGGTCCAGCTTCTGTTGGAGCCGGATGCCTGGATGGTGTCCCTGGACCTCTGGGATGCATATTGGCACATTCCCATTCATCCGGGGTTCAGGGACTGGTTAGGTTTCGTGGTGGGGCATCAGGCTTACCGCTTTCGTTGCCTTCCTTTTGGCTTGAATCTGGCACCTGTAGCATTCATGAGTCTTACCCGGGTCCTGATGACCTGTCTGCGTCTGCTAAGGGTTTGGGTTCTGGCCTACCTTGATGACTGGCTGGTGTGGGCTCCCAGCCAGTCTGCTTGTCTACTCGCCCGGGATGGGATTCTTTCCCAGTTCACCAAGTTTAGGTTTCTGGTGAACTGGAGGAAGTCCCATCTGGTTCCGTCCCGGGTTCAGACCTGGCTGGGTCTTGTTTGGGACTCTCGGACCGCTTCCATGTCTCTCCGTCCGGAGGCATTGCTGTGGCTGCGGTCCTGCCTTCAGCTGTTTCTGGGGGGGGGGGTTCCCTCGGCAATTGCTCAAGCAGTTGTTCAGGAATCTGAACCTCGCCGTGCTGGTTTACCAGCTGGATCAGGTTTAGCTTCGGCGTCTGTTCTGGTTCCTTTGAGGAAGCCCCTTTTGCCTCTCTCACGATCACTGGGTTTGGCCTCCATAGGCCTTGCATCGGTTGCTGCGTCGCCAGCTTCCTCTTCGTTTTTTCTGGGTTCAGTGCCTTGGCACCTACCTAAGCCCTCACTTGATATGTTCATGGATTCGTCGTCTCTCGGCTGGGGCTTTGTAATCAGTGCTCACTAGGCCGCCCAGGTGCAGTGGAGTCCATCCTTCCGTCAGGTTCACAGCATAGTGTGGGAGTTCGCTGCGGTTGGTTGTTGCTTCGGAGGGTTCGGGTCGCTGGGGCTCCACGATCCGGCTCCATTTGAACTGTTCTCTGGTGGTTCATTGCCTGAACTGCAGGGGTTCCCTTCGGTCTTTGCCTCTTTGGAGCTGCTTGCTAAGTGTCCGAACCTGGGGCATTTTCTGTGGCTCCACCTTTTCCAGCAGATCAGATCGGTCTGGCACACGGCAGGTTTGGTCTTCTCCTCCGCTCTTCATGTCTGGTCTTTTTGACGTAGGTTTATCACAATTTGTATGATGATCAGGTGGCTTCGTTGATGGTGTCCCACCTGAGAGCTTCGTCTCAACGACAGTATGAAGTTTCCTGGTGTTCTTGCCCCCCTTTTCTCTTTCTCTCTTTGTAGGTTGTCTTCTTTTTCTGATCATGTTGTCTTTTCCTTTCTTTCTTGGCTTTTTCAGTCCTGTCATTTAATGCTTAATACTGTCGCCTTGTATCATGCGGCACTGGCAAAGCCGCTACTGCTTGAGTACGGGATGGGTGTCACTTCTGCCCCATTCCATAAGCCTTCTCGTGCTTTGATTCATCTCTGGCCTGCTCATGCACCGCCTGAGTCGTCCTGGTCCTTGGACAGGATGCTCTCCTATCTCTCTGTTCGGATCGTGGTGGCCTCTTCGGTTCAAGATTGTTTTTCCAAGGCTCTCTTTCTGTTGGCATTGGCCTCTGGGAGTTGGATTGGTGAGCTTCATGCTCTCTCCGGCACAGGGGTTTCTACTCATTTGATCCTGTTAACCCTTAAAGTGCGCATCACGTCATATGACGTGCTGGACGTTGTTCCAGTCAACTGCGCATCACGTCTTATGATGTGTTGGAGTACTACGCAAGATTTAAATAGCCCGCGGATACACGGGGTTCACCACACCTTCATCAGGGCTCTTGTAAACAGACGCCATTTTTAAAAAAAATCGTGGGCCAAACTCCCGGGTGTTATTGGCCTCAGTATTGAGTGAGCAACCAAGCCTGACGCACGCAGCATGAGCTGACAGCATTGCTGTTCAGCTTGTGACCACAGCATCGCCTAAAAATGCCAAATTATACTTGTTCATGCTATTATGTAGCGATGATATTATTACAGAAGACCCCTGACTGTGATAAAACTGACCAGGGTTCTGATAATAGCAGGATTGTGGTGATATTTAGCGCTGTGCGCCATGGAAGGAGGAGTAATGCTGTGGGAGGGAGGGTGGTGGCGATGTCTTTTGACTGTGTGTGGCCACCTTTTATTGACTGCACTCAGCATACCAGCTTAGTGGTTCGCTATGGTGAACACAAATGTAGATACTTATATATAACGTGTGTATAGAGGGTATAAACAGCAAGAGAAGGTTTGGAGCCGCCATTTTGGTGAGGGCGGTGGCGTCGTCTGCACGACGCCACCGTGCAGACGACGGTGTTGTTTACTGGTTACCACGATGGTCTTTGGGCACCATACCAGTTTATTTGTACAAGTATGGTGAATAAAACAGGTAGATATTTATATATAATGTGTGTATATAGCGTAATAACACCACACAGTATTGTTGGAGGAGAAATATTAGTGCGTCTGGCCTTGAGGGCGGCCGCCGATCAGCTGACTGTGTGAGTAGCCACATCTTTGTGCCTTTACTCACCATACAAGCTTAGATGTACAGTTATGGTGAACAAAACATGTAGATACTTATATATAACGTCTGTATATAGTGAATTATAGCAAAAACATTATTGTGGGAGGAGAATGTGGGTGAGTCAGATGACTGGAGGGAGGGCGGGAGTGGCTGGCTGGTACACGGCGGTCACTCCTCGTTACTTTTTGACTCATAATAGCTACTTAGTGGTTCGTTATAGTGAACAAAACATGCAGATACTTATATATAACCTGTGCTTATAATGTAATAACCGACAAAGTATTTGTTCACTGATTGATGAACATAATTGAATCAACAATATGCACACCATATTTTTGAGTACAGCAATGATTCACTCATTTTATTATATAAATATATCAAACTACACACTATTGAATAATATTACAGCAAAAAAAGTATGAAAAATCAATCAGAGACATTGAAATAATTCGGTAATTATCTCTTTGTGGCAACTCCGGCCTGACAGCTTGCGAGCAACAGACCGCCTGGGACGCACGCTGAGTCAGCGCCTATAATTTGCCAGACTT